ACTATATCCTTAGAGCTAAAGACTTTAAGTTATTTTAGTGGTGATAATGTTGAATAATTGAATGTAAAAATAGCGAAATATGCAGTTTCGAGGAATCTGACGATGAAAGTGGCTTCAACGAGATAGAAAATTTCCTTAGTGAACAAGTGCATTTCAAGATGTATATATATGGGGTTGTAGAGAATTTTATGCACTATCAGAATATTTATCTACTCCTCCAAAAGTGCTAATTTACACTAATGAAATATTAAAATTATTGGATACAACTATTTTTTTTCAGACAGAGATTTTTGATACAATATTAAAATATTATTGAAAAATGCTTTCATGCAAAAGTTCAATCTACCAGCTGTTTCAAAACGTTATTCAATGCATTTTGATGCGCTATTTCAAATGATAGTATTCACAAGCTATTCAATCACACCAATTTGGCTCACCCTCCTTATCCACGCAGACATATCTTCTGAAAATGGTATATGCTCCTAAGCATATGCTATTCGATGATAAATTACTTTCATTACAAAGAAAAGATAGCCCATAATCAATAGTATCTATGACATAAATGCTTGGATAATAATATTTATCGCTCTTTAGAAAATGAAAATTTACTTATTGAAAAGTATTACATGACAAAATACTCTAAATTTTGCATGGAAACTATAATGTTAGCTTCTTGATCCCCATAACAAATCATACGTTTAAGTCGAAATTTTTATTTTCTTTTTAAATTAATTAGGTCTATCTACTGTAAAAATGCCAGCTCAATCGAACATATCAATTGAGCAAAGTTACACCACAATTCCTTGTAACTTAGGTGTGCGTGTGAGTGAAGGAAAGATCTACTACACCCACGCATATTCTAGTTTGAATGATTAAGGCGCTGATCTACATTATCCATGGACTACGTCCAATAGAGTTTTCAGACGTTCAGCTCTCATAAGGATTAAGATTCAAAGGAGAGGAGTTATAGGAGATGTTTTTGTTCAGCAATGTACATTAGTTGATGTCTCAGTCATAACAAGGAGAAAACCAGTTCCAATGACGAATTTTTTGTGAAAATGATTGTTGTTACGAATCATAAGGTGCCCTAATTCGTGCCTAATGTTGAGTGAAAGCAATTTTAGTTAAAATTTGAAAAGAGAACTTAACTCAAGGGGAGTTCTAGAGTAACTGCTATCGAGTATGAGAAATCGATTAGAAAATCTTTCATTCATTCCCGACGAAACTAAAGTTTATGAAAATGATTTTGAAGTTCGAAAAAATCGAAGGAGAAAATATTTTCTTGAATGAGAAATGATGATAGTTTGGCGAATTCCGAACACACCAACTTCTTCAATGCAACGAATTCATTTGAAGATTAAGATGTCTATTTGCTTTTGGCCTAAAACAAATAACAGAAATGGTTTATCATCGCTTTTTGGCTTTCCATCTCTGGGAAATCGTAGATGATGACTTGATCGATAGTTGTGGTAGAGTAGTCTATACAAATCGATAGAGAGATAACGAAAAAGTCTTCAATGAAACCCATTAACATTAAAAAAATAAGCTTAATAAGATTGACAAACGAGATAAAATAACAAAATGTCGTTGATAACACTGTGTACTCTTGATCATGTCTATAATCCAAAGGAATCAACACGGCTCCAAATGAAATTTTTATTAAAAATAAATGACAAGCGAAAGACATTTTGTAGCAAATAAAATCATGTTGTTCAATATTTTCGAGATAAATATTAACATTCTTTTAAGCTTAATTTGATCTCAATGTCACGACAATTTTAATGAATACTTGATTATCAAGAACAAAGATGCTTGACGAAAAATTTTTGTTTTCTTCATCTCGCCACTAAAGCAAAGCCGTTTGGTTTTTTTTGACATTTTCTTCTGATCTGAGGAATAAAATGTATTCGTGACAGACAAAAGATCATATCAAGTCATGATATAAAACTGCTTTAAGTGCACCAACTTACACTTACTTTCTCTCTTTCAAAAATATAGACACGTCACATTTTCTGCCACAACTCGTAGAATCATGTATGTGATCACTCATATTGATATGATCGGTGTATTCTGCTTCTTTATCTTCATTATTGGTACGTTCTCGACAACTGGACCTGAATCGTCAACAGCTATACCTGTTGGCAATAGAGTCAAGGCTATATGGAATGGTATCATTATAGCTGATAGTGATAAAGCAATTAAATTCGATAATAATATCTACTTTCCACCTGATTCGATTAATAGAGAATATGTGGAAGATTCATCTACTCATACCACATGTCCTTGGAAAGGTGTTGCCTCTTATATGACGATCGTTGTAGATGATGAAAAATTTGTGGATGCTGTGTGGTACTTTCCAATGCCCAAGGAGGCAGCAATGGACATTAAAGGCTATTTTGCATTTTTGCCAGGTGTGCAAATTGTAGAAGATTAATAAAAAATCAAAACTGCATCATTCATGAGTAAATCTGCTAGTAGTTAACATGCGATGAATACGCACAGCTGTCAGAAGACAAATTACAAAAATTAGTGTGTACGCATTACAAAGCAATCTGTTGTTGATTGGTCTCCGTTCAATTCAATACTGGAGATATATTGAATACTTTTGGTTTTCGAAGTCTTCTGAACGTTTTGAGCACGTTATATTGATTATTCTAAAAAAAGAGCTTTCAATATTTTCAGTTTCACCTGATTTTGACGAATACTGTTAGCTATAAGTGTAGATTTGTTTTCTGTTTTTAAACAAAACAATAATTCTAACGGAACTTGATTGGTGAAATTATTCAATACACATCTTGTGGTTATGAGACATCTGAAGATATTACTTGAATTATTGATATATGAAAATATCTGGCTGTTTGACCTAATCCAGCAGAACGTATTCGAATCCTTGAAATTTATAGGCAGTTGTTGTACGAAAAAGACCTCTGTTAGTGAACCAGACCGAATATCGCTGAAATCAACAAAATAGAACTCAAATCGAATGGTGCTTATCTCAGTTAAGTAGCGAACATCCCGTAGATTTTCATCAGACATATTGAAACCAACGAATGAACTAAATAAAAAACTATTCATAAATCCGTTTTTGCTCGATTCTTCCATCAAATTTTGGACGACCAGAAGCAGATGAAAGTCGTTAAACGATTAATCGACTCTCTCAAAATCGTAATTATTATTTCTAAAGTAGTCAAATCTAATTCCAGAAGTCGATTGACATGCAAATTAGACCTTTATACTTCATGCTGGATGTGTGTGTGTGTGTGACTCAAAACTCGATATTATCGGTCTTCTGTTACGTGATGCAATGCACTGTTGATACGAAACATATCTCTTCCTTCGTCAGCTTCTTTCATTGGACTTACACATCAAATAGAAGCGCTTTTTTTCTCTATCGAATAACATTTAAAAGTGTGATAAAGCTTTTATCCTTTTCTTTTTCTTTTATATTACAATGTTCACTTGTACGCACAATGTGAGGACACCTATGACGAAATTTTCTCGCTATTGAGCTGTGAAAGCAGCGGTCCACTTTGAATTATATATAGTTCAACAGACTTGTTAAAGTTCTATAAAATAATGCTATTGTGTTGAAGTTAATTTGTAGGCAAGAGACTTAAGTAGAAAACGAATAATTTCCTTTTTCACCAATTCCAATATTGCCAAATAAAGTCATAACTGAAAAGACTCCGAGTCAAATAGGATCCATTTTATATACATAACATCTTATTAACATTAATTAGTTTAATGCCAAACCGATTGGTTACCATCTTAGTTGATTACCACATCGATTCTGAGTGTGAATGTCAATCTCATGAAAAAAAAACTTGTATTCACTCCCACACTTACACTCATATCTACGCCCACATCTACATTCATATGTACATCCACCCGCTACTGACTGAGATTGCAAACAAGCCAGATGATAATCAATCGATTTGGTATTAAACTAATTAATGTTAGTAAAATGTTATATATAGAATGGATTCTATTTGATCTGGATTCTTTTTAGTTATAAATTCATTCGACGATATTGGAATCGGGTGTGGATGTTATCCGTTCACTCACGCACAAGCTCACACCTACACGCAAATAGGCCGCCGCTTTTTTAACTCAAAAGCGTGGGAGTTTTGTCAGGGTTATTCTCATACTGTGTATACAAGCGAACAATGCAATCTAAAAGAGAAAGGAAAAGAACAACACTTTGACATATATGCCATTTAAGAGAGATAAAAAGAAGCTTTTATGTAATACATTTGTCCAATTAAAGGAGCTGGAAAGGAGAGAGAAGTTTTGAGTCAGACTTGCACAGCCACAGTGAAATCTAAAGGTCTAATTTTGAACATCAATCAACTTTTGACATCTGAATTGACAAGTTGAAACACAAGAAACTCAATGTTGAAAAGGGACCGATTTCATTGTTTAGCGGCTGCTCTTCTTTCGTGCTGACAAGAGATTCCATTATTCTTCAAAATTTGCAAATTTCTGTTCGAACAAAACTGGTACATAACTTCTGACTTTCAGGCTTCCAATATACTACCAATAATCGGCAGAAATAGAAGAATTAATAGAATATACTCCAACGTGAATCAGTGAAATTTATTCATCTCGATACGAAAACAAAAAATTTAAGGTAAGCATTTCGGAATGAGCGGATGACCAGATGTTCATATACTAGGCGATCTCCGCAAAAGAAAAATATTTATTCAATTTAAAAATATGCGTTCAAAGTTGCTAAAATGTTTAATGGCGAATGATTGATTTCTCGCATTGCTTTTCTTTATTGTTGACCTTTAAGATTAATGTTGTTATTACCAAAAATGATTACTGAAATTTGTCCACATGATCGGACAACATTGGAGAATATTTAGTTGGCAATATGTATCTGCTGGACAGCCTTCACCGTTTGATTTGCAATGCGTAAAAGTCAACGGTTGTTTTCCATTGCTGCATATGGTGGTGGTCGGTTTGCCATTAATGGATGTCAATAGCAGAACAAATAGCATAGCATATAAAGGCGACATATTGTTGGCTTTAGAAGGAATAGAGTGGTAATATGTTTTTTTTTCTTTCGTTTTATATGAAATTTGACATTTATTTATCTATCTTATCTCCATCTGGCACGAAGGTTTCTTGATCAGTTATTCACAACGTGATTTGTGTTATTTTTTGATGAAGTTATAATCCAAGTGACGTAAGAGTGTGGGACTTTATCTTGATGATTCCTCCTCCATTATCGTGGGTATGTATTATGCAGAAGTTTGTCATGAACTATCATTTCAAATGGATCGACCTGCAATGTTCTATGACGTTTTTACACTAGTAGTTTAGTTCTACAAATTTTTATGCACAATCACATCTTAGTCCGAATCGAACCGATCATTTCGAGTTGGGGTTCGGTTTAGGTGGACTCAGGCTTTCAAATGCCGATTAGAGATTGGTTTGTTTTCGGACTTTGAGTCACGTCTCTTTTCTATATCACAATGCAATAAATCGGAACTTCTTTGAATCAAGTCTCTTTAAAATATAGATGCAGAAGAAGAGTCATGTTTTTTGTTTTAATTTAGATCGCTGAAAATGATTTTCTTCCTATTGATTATGCATTTTGGTTTTCGGGTACGGTAATTGACACTAGGTACAGGATCACTCAACGATAGATAGTGTCACACAGCATATCTAAACTAACCAAATCTTATCTCTTAGCTTACAAGGGAACCTTCCCAGGTGCCAGAGCGCTTTTCAGTCGGGGTTTTGCGCATCTTGTAGCCCATAGTGAGCTATGTCTATGGTTAAAAAAGTTCG